ATTACGTAAAGAATAAAACAGTTACACCAAATTAAAGTCACCTTAATTCTTTCAAAGGTAGTGGATAAAAAGGCAAACATGAAATAACTATTAAGGCATTTGAGAATTTGGGGGGGTTCGTTTTGTTTTGTGAAATTTGAACATCAGTGACCAATCTGGGATCAGAGACTCAGCTACTAAAGTTCTGCGCAAAGTTGTGTGCAGATATTTGTCTGAATACAGGGGTCCTGGTGTGGCACTGTGGGTTAATGAACTGGACTGCAATATTGGTTTGAACTGCAAGGTCAGTGGTTCAAGCTCACCAGCCATTCCTCGGAAGCCCTACACAGGGTAGATAAAAAGAGCATTTTGCTTGCCTAGACAATTGTCAATATTTCAAGGTTAAAAAACTTTTTAAAGTTCAGCATTATGTTGTTGTTAACTGCCATCATGTCTGTTTCAACGCATAGAAACCCTATGTAGGGTTTCCAAGGAGTAAGTCTGAATCACCAACCTTGTGGTTCAAACCAACGTTGCAGTCCAGTGCTTATCCTACAGCGTCACACCAGGACTCGATTATACTTCCATCCATCAAGTATCTCAAAATATTTTTCTTTAAAAAATTCCAACATTAAAAAAAAATTTTTTTTTAAGGTTTTTATTGTGGATTGAGTGAAAGTTTACAGGACAGATTATCAGTTTTACATTCAACAAATCATATACCTTGTTTCATTACAATGATTACAATCCCCTCCGTGTACCATCAGTTAACAGTCTTTTTCTCTATTCATTTTCGCTCTTTTTTATTTTTATTTTTTAAAACACTCAGGCATATATAATAATTTACACCTCTCCAAAGGGCACATTGTCTGCAAGTCTGCCTCCTGGCTATCGGCTCTTAGTCCCTCTCTTCCCATGAATCTCAAGTCATCAGCTGCTCCTATCCATGTCCTCATCTCTGCCTCTGTCTCTGGATAAGGTATTGCATTCTGCTTGTGCTCTTCTCCCTTGATGGTCCTAGAGTCCTCTGTTTTTGGACTGTAATATTCATCACTCCCCTATTTTTATTACAAAACTTCTACCTTTACAATTGTGACAGTTGCAATTAGTCATGATAACAAGTATTCACTATTGAATCATACAAATCTCATCGCTATCTCTTTTCACCAGACCCATCTAAACAACATGAAATCTATTCAGTGGGGACTCTTTCTTCCCCCACATACTCTTAACCTAAACTCCCTCTTGAAACTTTGTAAGCTAGTCACTTCATGCCTTTATCGCCCCCTCATTTTATGTAGCCAATATCTAAGTTGTCTGCCCGTATCCCCCCCTAGTGTACAGAGGGAATAGCATTGATACTTGATGTGAAGACTCCTCTCTCTGTTGGTATTTAGAGTTACTATCTCCATGAGTATGAACCACAGCACATCACCACCACCACCTCCATGAGTATAGGTCAAGTTCATCAAATTGTAGCAATTTAAACTTGTTTCCTTTATCCAAAAAAAAAAAAAAAATTTTTTTTTTTTTTTTTTTTGTGTGTGTGTGTGATCTTCCTCTAGTTGAGGTCTGATTATCAAGCCATTGAGGCTAGGTCAAATGGGTACTGTCTGCAAGTTTGGGTGTTCTTGTGCATTTCCCCTCTATCAGCTGGATGTTTCACTCTTAGCTCTAGTTCATTTTCAATTTTTAAAAAAGTTTTTTATTTCATCATGCCAGGAAGGTATTTTTTTGTTTTCAAGTAACTTAGGGTGATACAGACTATTGATGTATATTTTTAAAGAGCAAGTCTCCTCATAATTTAAATCAAGGGTAGCAAAACAGCTCAAAGCCTTTACTGGCACAGTGTTTGTTTGGGATGGGCTTAATAATTCATGCTTGCTCTGTTTCTCATGAGTAATGCGGTCACTTTAAATGAATGCTAATAAAACTGGTGTAGTACATCATCACAGATATTATGTGAAAAGTACAATACCCATATTATATACACAACAAGCAGGAACCTGGCAAGAATGACTAACCGACAATTTTAACAAATCCTTTTGAGGAATTCAAGAATAACCGAGAATTTTAAAAACAGAACATTACGTTAATGGGATGGTCTTGGGGGAAATGACCCCACAGATAATCATCTCAACCTCTTGGGGTCCATTTTAGCCTTCCCATTCCCCGACCACCTTAGAAGCAATCTCATCTTGAGCAACTCTTTCAGATACCATGTGAGATGAGAAAAGCTCACTGTTAGCCATGTCAGAACAAGTGAGCTGGTGATGAAGTGACGTAGATAAGAGAGTACTAATTTAATCCGCAGTCGATATGATGTTAGCATTTCATTATTTTTTTTAAGTTCTAGAATTTAAGAGAATTCCAGACCACCAATAACAAGCTAACTAATAAAAAAAATGCCTGCAGTAGAAATGCCTGAGAGGAACACAAGATGGGGCTGAAATATAAAGTGTGAAAAAGTTCCAGGAAAGCTAAGTTTCAATTTTGTCTTGTGTTGGGTTTCTAACACTAGTAGGAAGCTAAACAAATATAAGGAGAAATAAAACCATGGTTTAAAATACTTCAAACAAGATTTCTTCCTAGGTCACATCTATTGTAAATGGTAACTTAACTATTCTTTTTACAAGAGGATAACAACATAGCACTTTAAAATTGTCAATGGGGGCCTTCTTGCTGTACTTTCTAAGCCAAAAAGAGTTTCATGAAACAATGTATTTCACACTGTTGTAAGAATACAAGCAGAGAAGACACTTTGCTCTTTCTCCAGAGACTAAGATGTATTCATTCACAGATATGTTTTAAATATCAAAGTGGATAGAAATCCACAGAAATAAGAAAAAACATGTGCAAATCATATGCCTGGCTTATATTCTAAGAAATGTCTAGATTTTTACTATTAGCAATGAAATAAAAGTTTGAAACTATTAGCAAGGAAATAAAGTTTCTCACATAAGGGAATCCTGGTGTGGCACTGTGGGTTAATGTGCCAGACTTGAACTGCAAGGTCGGTAGAGTTCAATAAGGTCACTATGGGTCGCAACCGACTCGATGGCACTTCACAACAACAACAAAAGCTTCACGTTTTACAATATACAATCTGTAACACCTTCTTAGGTCAATTTTTTTTCATCTACTATGAACTATTATACTTCATTATTTTATAAAACATTACACTACTGTTGTTATGTGCCGTGGAGTAGGTTCCGACTCACTGTGACCCTAAATAAAGGGTTTCTGAGGCTCTAAATCTTTATGGGAGCAGAAAGTCTTATATTCCCACGGAACAGCTGGTAGTTTTGAACTGCTGAACCTGAGGCTAGCAGCATGATTCATAACCACTACGCTACCCGAGCTCCTTATTACACTCCTAGTCCCTGATAATTTTTCTTCTAATACCTTAGCAGAGCTTCTTATTACACTGCTAGTCCATAATATTTTCTTCTTCTAATACCTAGAGTTTGGGTTAGGCACTGTATGTTAAGTACTAGACCACAAGGTCGGTTTGAACCACAAAGTTGACGGTTCAAACCCACTAGCTGATTCTCAGAAACTTTATACAAGGAAACGATGAGTTACAACCAACTCTGTGGCACTCAACAACAATATCTAGATAAACTACCAGAAAATTATCAATGCAGACAATTTAAGTACCTTTTGTATTAAGAAGCAATCTGTTCTTATCTACCTTAATAGTAATGAAGAAAAAAAATTTAGAAATACTGGTATAAGAGTTAAAGAAAAATGGCATATACCTAATGACAGTCTCAATACTTTCAAGCATGGACACCAATGATTAGGGCTATACTGGTAGTATGTTGTTCTTCAGTGCCACTGAATCAGTTCTGACCCATAGCAACCCCGTACAGGATTTTCAAGGAGCAGAGAGTGTGCTTGAACTGCTGACCTTGCAGCTCAAACCGACTTTGCAGTACAGTGCATTAACTCACAGCACACATCAGGTAGTAAAAGATTACTAAAGCATCGATAAATGAGACAATAATGAGAAAAATGTAGTTAATAATTTAAAAAAATATCCTATTAGATTATTTTCAATACAAAGAAGAGCAGCTATTTAAGGATTTCTGAGGCCTTTCCTAGTTTGGTCCACAGGACCAAAATTTCAACACCATCTATTATAAAGTTCACTTGTTTTATTTTTTAGATCCATGACGAGGCTTTTAATAAAACAGTAAAAACAAACAAACAAAAAGACCTTCTACTAGCTCTGATTTGTTATGTAGGAATAAGAAAGTCCAAAAAGTAGTTGTATGAACATGATACAATCAATGCTAGCAAAATACTATGAGATTTACTTGAAAACTGAACAAACAGAACAAAAAACTTGAAAGAAATTCTGTTGTCAAACTCCTTTTTCCTACCAGTGCTGCCTAGAGTCACACTGAGATGCTGTAAAATACTATGTAGGTCTACTTTTCTATTCTTTTATAGGAGTCCTTGGGAGGTGCTGTGGGTTAATGTGCTAGACTACAAGGTTGGTTTGAACCACAACGTTAGAGGTTCAATCTCACCAGCTGCTTACTCCTTGGAAACCCTATACAAGGTCGCTATGAAACACTCGACGACACTTAACAATAACAACAACTCTTCTACTGGACTCCTGGTGTGGTGCTGTAGGATCAGCACTGGACTTCCAGCTCAAACCACCAGCTGCTCCTTGGAAACCTTACACAGGGTCATCATGAGTTGGAACCACCTCAATGGACTGCTAAGCACAAGGCTGGTGGTTCAACCTACTAGGTGCTTCTCGGAAACCCTATACAGGGTTCCCTGGTGTGTTGGAATCCGCTTGATGGAACTTATTAACAACAACAAAAATGTTTCTATTAAGTGGCACGCAAATCACAGGCTCCAACACAAGTACTGTCATCATTATCTCATGGAGACAGCACATTATTAATAGCTGCCTGTAGAATCAGAAATATGTCAATCTTACACACACAAAAAAAATCAATGTATCATAACTTTCTTGATATTTTCTCAGTTTTTGTTACCTCTTCTCTTAGTGCATGTTTCCTCTGTTCCAAACAGATTTCTTTAGCTCTCATCATCTGCAAAGTCTCCTTAGATACTGCATACTGGAGCTTTTCCATACGTTCAGCAGCTGCTGCCCAGGACGCTTTACCAAATTTCTTCTGATCTGCTCGCATTCGATCGTATACAGCTATTAATAATAATTTTTTTTTAAAGAGACATTAAGAAGTAACTTGATACCAAGGGATCTGAAAATCTTAGAATTCATAACTACGCATTCATAGATAAATATACAAACACTATCCCCATGATAAATTACGTCTAAAATCTGTAAAATATAATAAGTATATCTTAGATTCTAATGTCTACAGTAATTACTTTTATAATAATACTCAGAAATAACTTTAAGAACATGAAATTAATTTTTAAGAAATAGTTTCAAAACACCCTTTCACATATGTAGTATTATTAACTCTTAAAGATTCTATGCAAACTTGATTCTGTGCAAATATATTCTTTCTACTGGATAAGTTTGCTGAAATCAGAGCCATTATCATTCTGAGTCCTACAAGAATACTGTAATGACATGATGTAAGGGGGTGAAATCTAGAGCTATGGAATTCACTGAAGATGACAGCAGCATGGAGCTTATTCTAATAATGTCCCCCCAAAGATATACCTCCCTCCAAACACACAGGCTAAGGAAAGAAGGGAGGAAGGAAGGATTTTGTCAAAATACAAGCATCATTCGGAAGCTAACTCTGGCAGTCATACAAGCTGGTACTTTACACAGTTAAGGAAATTGATAACTCATAGTAGTATGGTAATGGTTCATCTTAGGCCCTTATATGATGAACCTACCCATCCTTATGCCTAATAGTTTCAGAATACTTTAATAGGAGCTCTAGTAGCGTACTGGTTACGAATCGGGCTGCGAACCGCAAGGTCAGCAGTTTGAAACTACCAGCTGCTCCACGGGAGAAAGATGAGGCATTCTGCTCCCGTAAAGATTAACAGCCTCGGAAACCCTGTGCAGGGTCGCTGTGAGCTGGAACCAACTCCACGGCACATAACAACAAAAACAACCACACTTTAAATGATCATAAAAGCACTTTAAATGATCATAAAAGCAATGTGATTGATGAGTACAGAATGCCATCATCCTAATGTCAGTACGTATTCACTAGCAGTTTATTTTATATGAGAGGGCTTCAAAAATTTTGTGCAAAAATTCCATTATCTCTTATAATTCCATTTTTCCATAAACTTCTGAAGCTCCGTTTTTAGGTTTAAGAGACATTAATAGATAATTTTGGACTGCTACTTTGTTCAAACCCTCTTTTCCAAGGTAGTTTATCTCAGTAGCCTTTGAATGGAATCTTTACATTAACTTTTTTGTTGTTTTACAGTAACACCTTCACAAGCTTGAAAATTAAAATCGTACAGACAGGTTAATCACAACAACAACAGCTCTTCCCATAATCCAAGTTCTACTCCAACTTTTTATGACCTCTGATACTTACTTCTGTAAGTGAATACTATAACAGCTTTAAAATTCATCTACTGACTTTGTAGTATGACAAATCAATAATTTACTTACTTATATTCTCCATTCCCAATACAATTTACTTTCTCTATGGTTTTTGGTAACCTTCTAAGGTTAAGAGATAATGCTTTAAAATGATAATCTTTTTGAACCTCAATTTTAAGGTTTCCAATAAAACGAACTAAAAATCTACTCATGTTAGCTGAATATCAAACATGATTCTTTTAGATTTTATTTTTGCCCATCTTAAAAAAAATTATAAGATTACTACAACCATAAGATCACTACAGTAAAGTACAATAGGAGAAAAGTATCAAGGACTATAGAGTTGGATATCTATGATTTAGAACTCTACCTATAACTAGTGAATAACTTGTGGCAAGAAACTTAGCCATTCTTAGGTTCAATTTCCTTATCTGTCAAAAGAAAAGAATTAGAGTGCCTAGCTAGAAGGGTATTCAAAAATCCTACTTGATATGGCAACATTAACACAACAGATAGGTCCACTAGCTATGTCTGCTTTATCTCATTTCTTCTCTCATATGCATGCACCACAATTCCTTATACTTACATAACAATATAGTCATTTCAAAGTACTCTGCTATCATTTGTCCAACAATCCTATAGAATAGGCAAGGGATGCACTACCAACATCTTACTGGTGTAAGAATTTGAGGGCTTTTGGTAACCTAAAGCAAGGTGACACACCTATAATAGTTGTTATTGTTGTTAAGTGCGGTGGAATCCATCCCGACCCACAGCAACCTGTGTAGGGTATCCGAGGAGCAGCTGGTGAGCTTGTACCACCAACCTTGTAGTTCAAACGGCTCTGCAGTCTGGTGCATTAACCCACAGCGCCACACCAGGTAATAGTAGGAGTACTCAAATTATTTATTTCCTTATTCTACCAACACTAACATTTATACTTTACTCGGTCATTATAGCAAATAATCTAACATTCTGCATACTCACAAATAAATGAAAGCCCCTGGCCTGATTAGTTCCAGGGAGTTACATAGCCCTCAAGAGCTAGTCAATACTTTATGTTGTAATATCTCTGGATGGAGTCTATTTTAACATCTACTAGTTGCTTTTTTCATTGATGGACTCAAGTGTGGCAGTGGTAGTGAGGTTGGCCCAGGATCGGACATTGTTTCGTTCTGCTGTGCGTGGGGTCGCTATGAGTCGGTTCCGACTCAATGGCACCTGACAACAACAACAACAAGAAGTTGCTTTTTCTACCACTCGTCTGTTAGTTTGTCATACTGTGGTGGTTTGTGAGTTGCTGTGATTCTGAAAGCTATGCCACCGGTATTTTAAATACCAGCAGGGTCACCCATGGTGGACAGGTTTCAGATGAGCTTCCAGACGAAGACAGACTAGGAAGAAAGAGTGATGAACTACTTCTGAATATTTAGCCTCTGAAACCCTTATGAATAGCAGAGAAACACTGTCAGATATAGTGCCGGAAAATAAGCCCATCAGGTTGGAAGGCACGCAAAATATGACTGGGGAAGAGCTGCCTCCTCAAAGTAGAGTTGACCGTGATGACGCAACTGGAGTAAAGCCTGTGGGGGAAAAGCCCGCGGGACCTTCATTTTCTGATGGGGCACAACTCAAAATGAAGAGAAACAGCTGTAAACATCCACTGAAAACTGGAACATGGAATGTACAAAATATGAATCTGGGAAAACTTGAAGATGCCAAAAATGAAATGGAATGCATAAACATTGATATCTTAGACATTAGTGACCTGAAAACCACATGGTTTACTATGCCAGGAATGACAAATTGAAGAGGAACGGTGTTGCATTCGTCGTCAAAAATAACTTATCCAGATCATGAGGTACAACGCTGTCTGTGATAGGATAATATCCATGCGCCTACAGGGAAGACTAGTTAATACCACTATTATTCCAATTTACACACCAACCACTAAAGCCAATGAGGATAAAGTAGAAGAATTCTTCCAACTTCTTCAATCTGAAATGGATCAAACATGGAATCAAGATGTATGGATCATTACTGGTGATTGGAATGCAAAGGTTGGGAGCAAAGAGGAAAGATCAGTACAAGGAAAATACGGCCTTGGTGATAGAAATGATGCTTGAGAATGCATGATAGCATTCTGCAAAACCAATGCTTTGTTCACTTAAAATACCTTCTTCAGACAGCATAAGAGACGACTACACATGGACCTCACCAGATGGATACATACAAATCAAACTGACTACATCTGCAGAAGGAAACGATGGAAAAAGTCCAGGGGCTAACTGTGGAACAGACCATCAATTACTCATATGCAAATTCAAACTGAAGCTGAAGAAAAGGAAAGTTCTCTTCCTTTTCCAAAATATGACCTTGACTATATCCTACCTGAACTTAGAGATCATCTGAAGAACAGATTTGATACATTAAACACTAAGGACCAAAGACCATAAGAGTTGTGGGATGACATCAAGAACATCCTACATGAAGAAAGCAAAAAGTCATTAAGAAGACAAGAAAGAAAAGGTCAAAATGGATGTCAGAAGAGACACTGAAACTTGCTCTCCAACGCAGAAATACTAAAGCAAATGGAAGAAATGAAGAGGTCCAAGAGCTCAACAGAAAATTTCAAGTATCAGCTAGAGAAGATTAAGCCAAATATTGCAACAAAATGTGCAAAGATCTGGAATCAGAAAACCAAAAAAGAACACATTCATCATTTCTCAAGCTGAGGGAACTGAAGAAAAAATTCAAGCCTCGACTTTCATTATTGAAAGATTCTCTAGACAAATTATTGAATGATGCAGAAAGCATAAAGAGAAGATGGAAGGAATACAAAGAATCACTGTACCAAAAGGAAATGGTTAATGTTCAACCATTTCAAGAGGTAGCATATGATCAAGAGCCGATGATACTGAAGGAGGAAGTCCAAGGTCCATCGAAGGAACTGGCAAAGAACAAGGCACCAGGAATTGATGGAATTAAAATAGAAATCTTTCAAGAAAGTGAGGCGGCATAGGAGGCACTCACTCATCTCTGCCAAGAAATTTGGAAGACAACTATATAGCCGACCATTCCAAAGAGAGGTGACCCAACGGAATGTGGAAATCATCGGACAATCTCTTTGATATCCCATGTGAGTAAACTTTAACTAAAGGTAAAATTGAAATGGCTGCAATCATACATTGACAGAGAACTTTCAGAGGTTCAAGCCAGATTCAAAAGAGGCCATGAAATGAGGGATATCATTGCTGATGTCCGATGGATCTTGGCTGAAAGCAGAGAATATC